TAAGCCACCCATAGAATTGATGTTTATATACATGATTACTGACCTTTTGAACAACGGATATTTATTTGATAAAATAGAGTTGCTTGTATACTCAATGTTGTAGTTCTAATTCTTTTAGAAGTTACTTTATCATTGGAAAAGCCAAAGTATATCTATTTTAGTTGTTTTTTAAAAGTTTGCATTTTCTGCAAGGATTAAGATGAAGCCACTTTAAACTGTTGAAAAATCTGTGAGGATTTGAGAATCATTTTCATGAAGACGTGACTTCGACCAAGAAAAGACCAGACATGTCAGATGGATTTTTAGGAAACGGTTTCTAAAGTGCACCATAAATATTGTACGTAACAGAGTCGGAAGGAGGAGAATAGTTGTGACCACGAGTAAAACAAAAAAATGAGGTCGGCTTCGTAGAGGATGCAAAGGATAAGCTAGGAGGAAACGAAACCTCAAAGGCTGCTGATGGTGGATGGACAGGCGATGGTCACACGAACCTTGACTACTTGCAGTAGGAAGTATTGTGGCTTTAGGCACATTACTCTGCTGGTAACGTAGCAAAAGGCAGATAAAACAATAGTATTTTGGGGATAGACTGCAGATTTTAACCTTGGAAAAATGTTGCACTAGTTTCTGATACCACCCCACCCCAATCCATTTTGGAATTAAGACCCAAGTGCTGCTGTAGCAAGATGGAATAGGGGATTCAGAGAGACAATTGAAGGCAAATGCCTCTGTAGACATCAAAATCAGTGTCTGTGGAACAACCTGCTGCAGAGGCTCTGTGTGGTGGTTCTTATGGACCCTCCTGTGGGGTGCCTGAACTTAGCTTCTTGTCACCATGCTGCAGATGTTAACTCAAGTACCTTTGAGCCATGACATACAATATGCTCTTTGTTAAAAGAGAAGCTGTGACTTCTTTAGATATCTGTTTATAAAAGTTAGCAGCTATGTTATCTAGAGTTTCTTTTAATTAAATGTTTATCTTTCATGTCTGGAGGTGTGGACAGGACGATAAATGAAAAGCACAGATGAAAAGGGGTGTCTCCTGTATTGCAAAACTGTTGAAATGGGAAACATCTGAGTAGGGACTGACAGCATTTCCTCTGATGTCTAAATTATTTTTATCTCTGACGAACAATAACATAGTTTCATTTGTAACGATGCTGTGCTCTCTGGATTGCTCTTTGCTTACCATATTCTCTTTCTCTTTGTATCTGCAGAAAAAGCTTCCTTGATGCTCCTTGTGATATGGCAACAGAGAGCTATGCAAATAAACATTTTACACTGAGTGAAATATTTTATTTATGCATGAATGAACTTCCCCCCTTCAGATTTTCCTTATGACTACTGTATAAACTAAGAAAGATGTACACTGCATACACATTTTGTATTTCAAAGCTTCCTTTTTGTATGGGTAATTTGCTAGGGTCGAACGTTTGTGAAGTTAACTTTGGTAACAATACAGCATTTTGTATTTTGAAATCCATTACAAAGTGTGTTGATTGAAACTCTCCCGTCCTTGCCTGCTGTTTATACTGGCCCTATGAATCTTTACTTTGATACCACTCTCAAAAGCCTGGGAAAGACCTGGATCAGATTTCAGGAAAAATGTATAATACTGTGCTGGAAACAAATGCATCTGGCATTGCAGATGAACTGAGCAGTTACTGAGCAGAAGCTTTTGAAACCAAGACAATTAAGTTTGCTTTGGGCATAGGACTGAGCTTATGAAATTTTAAATGTGCAGTCTGGAACCCAGTGCACACAGCTTTACAGAGGGCTAGCATGAACAGAAGTACAAGATCTTACGGCTTTTGAGGAGTTCAGAAATCTTTTGATTCACACTATCAAATAATATGTGCTCATTGATCCAGTTTCTACTGCTTAAAAACTATTTTTCAACTTTGTTTATGCTTTGTCTCCATTGCCTGCCCATACTGGTTTAGAAATAGCAAGGTCAGAAAATTAAATATTAAATTATATATCGTATACTTAACTTGATATTATATTGATATATATTGATATGAATTGATATATATTAAGTGCTAAACATTCATTTTATGGTTTTGCATATTTTTCATATGTTTCTTTTGCAAGATTTAAGAGGCTTGCTTTATAAAGAAGCTAAAGGTCTCAGGGTGTGTCTACATTCGTGTTTTAGTCAGATTGGGATCCCACTCCTGAAGCAGTTGTCCCCACTTGCTAGGCTGTGAGTTCGTGTTGTGAAGCAGAGTTGGAGTGCAAGAATGGGACTGCTTTAGGAAGATGCAGTGCGGGGCTTACCTTTGCATAAACACTTCCTATGTTCTTGCTCCCACTGAATGTTCAGTCCTTGGGGCTATACCGGAGTCAACGGGGCAATAACCCCCCTGGAAGCAGGTATGGGCTTCAGCACCAACTGTTGGGGCTATTTGCTAATGTAGACCTTGCAAAGTCCTGCGACGACTACGGGCTTTCATCTCCGTGAGGGAAAAAACCAACAGTGCTTCGTGGTGGGGATCTTCCCTTTGTTTGGTGCCATCACGTGTGTTATCTCACATACTGTATTTGTGTGATTTCACATGACATTGAGTGGATTTCTGTGGGATTACAGAGCACCTGCACATTGGCATTACTGATCCGTTGTTGTTACTGTCAGGAACAAATGCTAACCTTGAGCTCACCAGCACAACCTCACAGCAGGCTTAAGTTACAGCTATTCTTGTGCTTTAAGCTGCAGAAAAAAATCTGAGTAAAACTGCTTTTCTCTGAGTTCACACCGGCACTGGGCAAGCTGTAGTCTCTAAAGATATCTTCAGCTTTCTTACAGTGATAGGGAAAGGGATTTTTGGCTGACAACTTAGATCAAATTACCTTATGTCCTCCACTTCAGCTGTTTGTTCTGTAGAAGCAGAACTATCCAAGAGCAAAAGGTAAGCACTTAGGTGGCTAAATACCTGATCTTGCAGATACAGCAGGTAATTAAACACTGGGCTTCCTGATGTCTAGGGTGAGCATGCAAACACCAGCCTGCCTGTGGGTGTACAGAAATTGCCTATGAACCATTAACTACAGAACAAGAGTCATCTATATAGTCACAATTATAAACAAATAAATACAATTTAAGAAAGAAAAATCCTTCTCAGTATTTCAAAACAACTAGTATGTAACCCACGTAGAGCTGAGAATTTGGAAAAATCTCCCAGTGGGTGTTTTCACAAACTAAAATTAAGCATTAAAGAAGTTTGCTTCTAAGGGAAGATCCTGGCTGAAGGTGCCCCCCAGTGCCTTCAAATGAGCATGGGAACACTAAAATGCTGACAGGCAAGAGGAGAAAACTGTATTCTCTGCCTCTGTGGGATGATGATTCCTTGTCAGAGCCTATTGATTTTCTGTAGGATTCCTTTCATTTTTATTTCAAGAGAAGATGAGAAGCGGAGCAATGAGTTCTTATGCTGCTTTTAAGCCCGTATCACAGTTCACTGCGTCACTGCTGAACTCTTATGGACACCCAAGACTTGTTGGCAATAGGTGGCAGATAATTTGCAGAAATTGTACGAGAGGAGGGTACCTCCTCTCCTGTTTAGGAGAAAATGTTCAGCCTGTGGGTAAGAGAGCGCATCTGTCATGAGGTGGTGCCTCCTCAATGGGAAGGGGTGGGAGATCAAATGAAGGCCATGTGGGAAGTTGAGACCTGCCACATGGGAGTGCTTGTGGCCTTGGTTTATTGTTATAGTCAGTGAGGATTATGATTATTATCAGTATTGTTATGAAAGTACAAGTCCTAATATGAACCCAGACCAGTCTGGCTAATTTTCCTACCTATAGGGGTAGGGTGTGTAAGGCACCGTCCCACTGAAACGGTTGGGTCTGCAAATGGGCACCTCCACTACTTTAACTGTTTACTACGATGACCTTTGCAATCCTAGAGGTGAAGCTAAAAGTGAGATGTGGTACAGGGTGTTACAGTCTGCTTTAGCTTCTCCAGCTGTGTTTTGGTCAGTGCTGGTTTACTTGAGCCTGTATATGCACTGAGCTCTTATTTGAGGTTTTACATTGTTCTTCAAAGAACTGGCTTTAAAGATTAATTAGGGCAGGGGGGGAGTCAGAGCGTGTGCCTGCAAGGGAAAATGTGTCTGTGAACCTAGCATTAGAGCACTGACCTGAAAGAAGGGAGAGGGGAAAGAAGGAGGGGTTTGAAAAGCATTTGTAGTGGATTCTTTGAAGAGTAAGTATAATTGCTCTCCTCCGAGGGAGGAATGTAGAGATAATGTTGTATATATGCTTGCTGAAATACTGTGTGATTACATCACGGGATTAGCAGTTAGGTTCCAGTCGTGTAGATGCTAACAGCTGTATCTCATCTGATTTAGCATGGATGCACAACCTGAGAGAAGGATTACCCTTCTAAATGGTATGGAAGAAGAAGTACTTGTGTGGTGATTTGCCGTCGCTGATACACACATCAGCTATTTTAGACTGCTGTAACAGGCCTGTTTGAACAAGGAGATTCATTGCTGAAGGTCACAGTAGCAGTGTATCTGCCATGGGGCTGGGACTGCACAAGTCGTCAGGCTCATGTGAGATGGGGATTTGAACCACACGGAGCTGCTGCCTGCTAGAGTGGCATGTGTTCCAAAGCAGCCTTTTCTCTAAAACATACAGAAATAAGTTGTCACGACAGTAATTATATTTTTCCCTTAAGCTCATAGGTGTATCAGAAAGAGGTAAAGGGTGTTGAGGGGCGGATTGGGGAGGAAAGATGATAAATCTGAAAATGTTGAAATGGTAAATAACTGTTTTGAAATATTTACTTCATCTGTGGATTGAGACAAGAAGTAATTTCTTTCCTGCGCAGCAGCAAAGAGCTTTCAGCGTGTGTTCCCAACCTCCAGTCGTTCTCCCCATGAACTATTGTGTATGAAAAGGAAGCACTTTTTGGCTGCATAGCCCAGACGATTGTGTGGGAAACGGCTTGGTTTATGGCATAATGTTTTTGTTTAATACCTTTTTTATTCCAACAGGAAATATGGGATGTATAAAATCAAAAAGGAAAGACAATCTGCATGGAGATGGGCTAGATTTGAAGAATCAACCAGTACGTAAAACTGAACGAACTATTTATGTGAGGGATCCAACGTCCAATAAACAGCAAAGGCCAGTAAGTAGATAGTCTCAGGGGAGAATTCCAGTCGCAAGATCAAAGCATGACTGGCATAACTTAAATTTCAATCCAAAGCACATGCATGAAGAAATTCAAACGATCATTAGCCCACAATTGGGCTTTTAGTGTTGTGCAGTTCACCCTCAATGAATAAGTACTTAAAGAAATCAAAAATAAAAACTGGCGGTTTTTTACTTAATTACTTTATGTTTGTCATAGTTTTCTGCATGAAAACAGGAATCCTTGGCAACGCTAGGTGTAGCTACGTCTGTAGAAGAATGCTAGGCGACTTTAGAAAACCTGAAGTAGTTTAGAACCATTTTTAAAAGCATCGGCATTGAGTTTTTAACAGCTGCGGGATCCAGGTGTTGGTTATTCTGTTTAAAAAGGCTGAGGGAATCATGGGTGACTCTTTGCCAGCTCTGGTCGGCTTTCCTTTCACTGGCTGAAGGCCGCTACTTGACCTTGCAGGGGGTGCGTGGGCAAGGGTGGGAGGGGAGCAGCGCTCTGCTGCGGGAGGAACGAGCCCGTGGCCGCTCCGTGTGGGCTGCCTGGTGTTGGAAGGGAAGGGTGCCGGGAAGGGGAAACCCACCGGCTGCCAAGTGGGCTTGCTGTTTTGCAGGTGGACCGGCACCTTTTTTCCCCCACCCTCTGTGCTGTGCTGGCGAAACTGGGTTTCCTGACTGCCCTTGTTTGGGGGCTGTGCTCTCTGCGGGTGTGAATGACACCCTTCTCTCCCCGCTCCCCGACTGACACAGAGGACACAGCGTGCTCCCACTCAACGTACACCCATTGCAAACTACCTTTTTTTTTTGTTTTAATTACTCTTTTTTTTTTTTTTTTCCCTCGCACAATCTCAGTAACATATCCATGCTTGTAGTTCTTTAGCATGACAGCTCCATGTTAATTTAACGGTCACATTAAAGTGCCCTGCCTAAAGCCTCTTCAGCAGAAGCCACAAAGCTGTGAACTTCCTCCCCACAGCTTGTGTCACACCTTCCCGAGGTCTGAGCTGCTCAAGTCAAAACCTAGCGGGGACTTACTACATTTTTATGTTGTAATTTGATTTTGAAGAATGGTGGGGAAAGATTGGAGCTTTTCCTTTTAATTTAGGACATATGAGATGATACCGAAGCAACTGAATAACATGTAATTGTAATGTAAGGTTGTCACAAAGATCTAAAACTGCTTAATTAAAGACATATTTTATTGTAGGCAAATCAAGAAGCACAGCTCTTACCAGGACAGAGGTTTGTCAAGGAAGGTACGTTTTCTTAGGAATCTTACTGCTGTGTGCTATGCCCATGTCAGCCTGCGAAATAACGCGAACTTGCCTTTGGCTTTCTACCTTTGTAGAAACAGAGCATGGAGTCATTGTGGTAGCTTTGTATCCCTATGATGGCATTCATGAAGATGACTTGTCCTTCAAAAAAGGAGAAAAATTGAAAATTATTGAGGAGTAAGTATGACAATACTGATTGTATTGTAGTTTTTCTTTGGATTCAGCTAATTCCCTTTATAAGTTTTTGATATCGTACTCATACCATGAGTGTATTAATGATAAGGGAGCTCCCTTATATGTGAAAATACAAATGCATGTGGAGCTGTTGGTAGGGCTTGGCAGCTGCCCTTGGTAACAGCGACCAAACGTTGATCCAGCAGAGCCAATGGCTTCTCGGGGGGCTTGAGTTCAGAGAAAAGATGCTACTTCTCTCTCCAGCACGGGCAGAGCTCCCAATGCAGTAGAACCCAAATAACGCTTTATAATTTTCCTTTCCTGTGAATACTACTGTTGCTTCTGTTTATCAGGCTGGGAGAATGGTGGAAAGCAAAATCTCTCACAACGAGGAAGGAAGGCTTCATCCCCAGCAACTACGTAGCAAAAGTAAACACCTTGGAAACTGAAGAGTAAGTTCTCCCAGGCTCTAAATATTGGCAAACCTCTTCTTCACCCTGGTGGTGGATCCTTTGTGGATGGGGGAAAGAAAGGGTTCTAATTCTTTGAAATATTTTTCAGATGGTTCTTCAGAGACATCACCCGAAAGGATGCTGAAAGACAACTCCTGGCTCCTGGAAATAGTCCTGGAGCTTTCCTTATCAGGGAAAGTGAAACATTAAAAGGTAGGCTTTGGGGTGGCTTACTTTGGAATTGATAGTAGAGTTAAAAACATACAGTCCGTCTTCACAAAAAGTGGCATCAAGTGGCACTGGGTGTGGAGTAGTCCTGGTGTGTCCTACTGTGTGAATTTTCTGCAGTTCTGTAGGAGTGAGAAGGCTGAGAAAATCACCAGGAAAAGAGAGAAGAGAGTTACAGGTTAACACCCAAAGTTCAGATCTGAAAAAAACCAAATGTGTGACATTTGTGATTCCTTTATTGAAGGACATTTTTTATTGTGAACAGTAGATGCTGCATTTCATAGCCTTCCATTATTGGGTCTGTATCTATTGCTACAAGTTTTAATATATAGTTAGTGTATAATGAGGGTTTACATGTCTGCACTGTAGTGTGATTTTTTTCCAAAAGCTTTTTGCTAAAGGTTTCTGCTGTAAACAGAGCTCTTTGTACTGAGAAGCTTAGTGAAGTCTCCAGACCCTTTGGCTGGGACTTTCAGAAAACCGTAGGAGGTTCTGCCCCAGCATCTGGACTGACAGCAGCCTGGCTGGTTTCTCCAGTTGGATGCTCTAATGCTGCATCCTCCAGAGGAAGATGCAGGAATCCCTTCAGCAGACTGTATGTCTGTCCGCCCCACAGGGGTGGTTTTTCTGTCCCTAACACTGCAGATTCTTGATTAGGCAGCTCTCTGTAATGGGCCCGTATCGCTGTTTCTGTGCTCCCAAATGAAGACAGAGATCTAAATTCAACACAGTCTGCTGGGAGTAAGGCAAAGTACCCCCAAAATCTTGCTGTCACTGCATCTGTGTATAGGGAGAGAGAAGGGGCTGAGGTGGTTTCTTAGCCTTGAAAAAGGGATGACAAGAGTTATATGAGTGGAAGAAAGGAAGAGCTCTGTAGGTTAGGGTAGTGCTTTGCTGCCCATCTCAAATCCCAGCTGAGGTTAGGCTCCCTAGGACTAACAGATCTGCCCTCCCTCCTGTGTACCTCAAGCCATCTCCAGGCCATCCCACTGCTAGCTGGCCCATGACATCCAGCATGTTCCTTTTCCAAAGCGCTGATCTCCAAATTTCAGCTTCTGCCTGAGGAGTGTGACAGCCCTGGCCTTGCTTTCCCAGCTGGTTCCACTCGAGCCCGGGGGACTTTCTGCAGAAGTGGGCGTTGGACGTAGAGCTGTCTGAATTATGGAACTCCTAACTTTGTTGAATAAGATTGAAAAAGAAAGTGTGACTGTAGGCATTTTGGTGACCAGTTCAGGACTGGGCTATTGGTTAACTTCCTCATGTTGATTACAAAATGCTTTTTGAGGAAATAAGGGAGTAAAAATTAAAACAGACAAAAGGTGATTTTGTCAGGCTCAACTGTATGTGCGTGGACACTGTAGACTTTTGCTGTCTATTAATGACCATTCTTTCTTTATCCCCAGGCAGCTATTCTCTCTCCATAAGAGACTACGACCCACAGCATGGCGATGTTATTAAGCACTACAAAATTAGGAGTCTAGACAGTGGAGGTTTTTACATCTCTCCAAGAATAACTTTTCCCAACATCAATGATATGATCAAACATTATCAAAGTAAGTTAAATCAGTTAGTGGATTACTTAATAGAATACAGCCATTATTTACTGTGAAGGAAAATAAATGCTTTCATGTTTCACTTTTTTTTTTTTTTTTTTCCCCTAAATAACCCAGGCATGCATGTTATCAAAGATAAAGTAAGACTGGTTGGAATCCAAGTAACGTTGTTATCATAATCAGACCTAATGCTGCTCGCTCTGTGGTGTACCATTGTGAAATAAAGAGCAGCTTTATAAAACACCTCATCAGAGTTATGATGTTGTGAAACTACAGTAAGAATTGGCTGCATTGTCAATCAGTAAATTCTGTATTTGAAAGTAAATTTGTATTCACAATTAGCAGAAATACGTATGGACCTGTGAATGTCTTCCTGCAGTGTTGAGGGTAGAATTGGTTTTATTTTTCCTATAAAATTATTTGTTTGTTTATTTATTGTGACTGGTATTTTGAAGGACATAAAAGTCCATTGACTTCAAAGAAAGAAAATTGCACCCACATAGAATGTATACATTTATTATTAAAAAAAAAGGCGGGGGGGGGGGGGAACAAGTTTCTACCTATGTTTTAGCTACAAAAGTGGCTTTTCATTCTGCTTAACCTCCTGGTGGATAGCTCCAAATTATGTGGGTTTTAGTCTTGTAACTGGGAAGACAAGAGAAGACAAAAAATGTAGGACAGAAAATTACATAGTGATTTTTCAAAGCCACACTGAGGACTTGGCCATGAGATTTCTCCGACCTGTTAAACATGGGTGGTAATTCTTTGGCACAGCTGGAAAACCTGAGAATTATTCTAAATTTGGATTAAAGTTGTAGCTGATCAGTGTCTGGAGAAAAAAAAAAAAATGGTGACCTACTTATGCTTGCATGCACATGTGTCTGAAACAGTGCTACAAGAAAATTTAATGACAAATTCACAACACATGTTCCAAGCCTGACTCCAGTGTGCATCTTCATCAACATACTGTCAGTAAGCAGGTCTTGTATTTTATTTAGTCGGTATGAATGGTGCTAAAAAACCCTTGATAATCTGTTGGTAACTAGATGCATGTGACACTTCTCTATTAAATTTTTCTCTGAATACCAAATTTAAGTTTGGAGGTGCTTAAAGTTATGTGGAAGCACCAGAAAGGTTACATTTTCAGCAAAACACCTGATTATTTTGAAAATTATTTTGAGCTGGTTAGCACACACCTGTAATTAAGTAATGTTTGTCTCAAGTCACGAGGCACAGAAGTGTAATGGATTTTGTATCTTGTTTTTCCATTGAAAACCAGAGCAATCAGATGGTTTATGCAGAAAGCTGGAAAAACCTTGTATTAGTCCCAAGCCTCAAAAGCCGTGGGATAAAGATGCATGGGAAATTCCACGGGAATCAATTAAATTAGTGAAGAAACTTGGAGCTGGTCAGTTTGGAGAAGTCTGGATGGGTAAGTTTATTCCTTTGGAAAGAGTATTTAAATCTGCTGAAAGAAGTGTCATTTCCAAGTTGTTCAGAATAATAGTGGACATGAACCTGGTCCGATGTCCGTGTAAAACAGCACAGTCAGGTCCGGAATCTACCTTCTTGTGAGGAGAGGACGTGTGAGGGGGAAGATAGGTGATATCATGGAACAAATCCTTTGGTGTCTTTTAAAGGAAAAAAAGAATAGTAAGTAAGCACTATAATTTAGAGGGTTAAAGACAATAGGGGGTTTTTTGGTTGTGCTTTGTGGGGGAAGTAGCAGGTTATTAGTCAGATGTGACTCCTGATTCTCAAAATCAGTGGGCATCTCAGAACTTTGTTTCAGATCAGAAAGTGGTAAAGAACCTGAAGTAGAAAGAAATGGTGTCATTTAGTGAATTATGTATGGAGTTTTCATTGTCTCTTGGTAATGAAGAGGCTGCAATATAGTGCACGGGACTGCCATACTGGGTGAAAAATGGGGACACTTAATGCAAGATTATTGACTGCCAGATTGCTGCTGAGATAGTAGGTGGCTTAGGTCGTAAAAAGATTAGAGATTGATCTCGCCCTGCCTTGGACTATCATGCAGGTCCCCAATAATGAAAGTGTCATAAGACTTACGAATTGTGAATTTTAATATAGACCTGGCAAAAAATGATAGCGTTAATTATTATAACCAAAATTAGCTTGCTCTGCTTATAAACAGCCTTATTTTCTCAGCCTTGGTGACTTCCTGTGGCAAGAGGCTATGACCACTGTCTAATCACAATCTGCAAAAATATGTAATCCTTTTGCTTTTGAAATTATCTCTATTCAGGAACCTGAGTATTCTTTTGGGTTCCATATTGCATGTTCCCTGTGCTATTCATTACTTACACGCTTGTTACTTGTTACTGGTTACCATCTTATTTGAGGTAAACTATACCTTTCGCCCAAGGTCTTCACTACGGTGGTTTTTTCAAGCCAGATCATTGTCTCAACCCTTCTCTGAATCTCCTTTTTGGAGGTTATATTTAAATAGTAATAAAATTATGTTATATAATAACATATTATATTGTTATAGTAATAGCATAGGGTTATTTTTTTTCTTTTCCTTTCTTTTTTTTTAACAAGATTCTATAGGCAAGGCATTTCTGAGCAACTTAGAAGTGTATCCCAAAACTTATTAGAAGATGCAAAGCTATGAAGGAGTCTCTGGTGACCCATGGAGTGTGGCAGGCTATCGGGAATGCCGTTGCTTTGCTCTCATTTAGAAAAGTAAAGCAGAGGGCAGTGCTGTCTGAGTGGCAAATTCCACACACGACTACGGTGTCAATCAGAAAGCTCTAATTCAGTCATAGGTGCAATCTTTTGACATAAACCATGTAAAAAATGGAAGCAACACATCTCTGTAATATAATATAGCCAAATTCAGCCTTTTATCTGCCTTCACGAGCAAAAGCTTAAGAAACCTTCTTAGCTATTATATACATGAGCGACAATTTACGTACTAGTTAAGCATCAGCCGTTCTGTAGCTTTTTTTCTCTTTAATAAACCAGGGCAAGAAATGTTTAATGGACACTGAAATGCTATGAAAGATTTTGTGGCAGAAAGTAATCACCTGCTTGAAAATGTAGATCTTTTTGGGAAGTGACTACTTCTACATATACACACATAAAGGCATAAAACTTTAAAAGGGTGTTTCTGGTTCAAGATGTTTCCTCTTGTTTGTGTCATTACTTTAACATCTAAATTGGGCCTAACCCCTGCATCTGAATTGCTGCACTGTGAGAAAAATTAATGTACTGTGAAAGCGATGGCTGTGTTTCCTCTTCTCCGCTTCCCTTCTGAAGCGAGAGAAGCTGATTTGCATGGCGCAGGTCCTCTCGAAGTGTGGTTAATCTTAAAACCAAGGAAGTTTGAGCTGGAAAAGACGTGTTAGGGTATCAGCCAGAACTCTGTATTGTAATGATCAACCAGGGGCATCGGGAGTTATGTAGAGAAATAACCTAGTTGTTACGCTCTCCTGATTAGAGAGCTGGTTGTTATGCTCTCTCCTTGTATAGAACAAAATTATTTTTCAACCATAGTGTGAGTTAGAGAGAAATATTGTTCCATGGTTTAATTGCTAAATAAACTTCCTCTTGATAAAGGGTACTTAGAATTGTGGTTTCAGGGGGAACAGTGTCCCATTCAGAAGAACGGGGCTCCCCAGTACAAGAGAGATAGAGAGGTACTGGAGAGAGTCCAGCGAAGGGCCACAAGGATGATGAAGGGACTGGAGCATCTCTCCTGTGAGGAAAGGCTGAGAGAGCTGGGACTGTTCAGCCTGGAGAAGGCTTGGGGGGATCTCATGTTGACGGAAATACCTGAAGGGGAGGATGCAGAGAGGACGGAGCCAGGCTCTTCTCTGTGGTGCCCAGTGACCAGAGGCAACGGGCACAAACTGAAATACAGAAGGTTTCCTCCGAACATCAGGAAACACTTTTTCACAGTGTGAGTGACCAAGCACTGGCACAGGTTGCCCAGAGAGGTTGTGGAGTCTCCAGCCTTGGAGATCTTTAAAAGCCAACTGGACACAGACCTGGACAACTGGCTCAGGTGGCCCTGCTTGAGCAGGGGGGGTTGGACCAGGTGCCCTCCAGGGGTCTCTTCCAACCCTCAACCCTTCTGTGATTCTGTGATATATGGGAAGATAGAGATAATACTGCAATGTGAAGATATGCCAGTGTGTCTTCTATAGTCTTTTCTTTTTAGTTTGTCTGTAAGTACTCTTTGGACTTCCAAGTTGTCATCTTCCTCTTTTATATTTTAGAGGGAGTTAGCTTATGTTATGAGAGGACTAAGAAAACCCTAAGAACTAAAAGCAGGCCCCTGTATCCCCCAGGCACTCGGCTGTGCTCCTGTGTGACCTGTGCAGAGAATCTTTGTCACTTACGAAGTAGCCAGGTGAATCTCCTCCAATTCTGAAGTGTTTCTTTTACACAGAGAAAACCTTCTATGAAGGACCATCAATTTCCCAGTTTTGTCTATCACTGCAAGTGCATTTAACATCTTTCTTCATTTCAGCGATGTGTAATTTTATACATTTTATAAAGACTTTCTGGTTTGTAGGCTACCAAGTTAGTGTTTATGTGTGTGGTTTGGGCATCAGCTGCACTGGCATGATAGATGAAAACAGCACGGCAGAGTTGTGTTCACATTTTTATGGACTGCACCATGGAAGCGGTTAGGAAGCTGCAGCCTGTGCTTTCTGCCCTCAGTTTGGTGGGCTGTACGGAGATGAGCTAGAGATGGAGCTACTGTTGCATTCCTCTGCTCTTGCACTGAGTGATGGCTGTAGCTGGTGAAGGAGGAGTGGTGCGCTGACATGCAATAGGATGCAAAGAAGCTGCTGTTCCTCAGTCTCTTCCACAGTACCTCCAGCCATCGTAATGGCCTGAGACATTACCTGGCTTCTAACATTGTCATACCTCCGTAGCTCGAACAAGTTGTTCCCAGTATAACCTTGCAGGGAATCACTGCAAAAGCTGAGGAAGGAGAAAGCTGCGTCTTGTAGGCTTGTTCACAAAGTTGTTCATCTTCAGTCCTGGAGATCTGGTCAGAAATAGTAGGCTCAAACTCGTTATTGTCTGTTATAAATTCATATCACAGCTTGGCCCGATGAAGCCCATTCAAGAATCTGGAGGCAACCTGGCTGTCCAAAATACTACTCAGTCAAAATAATCTTAATCAACTCCAAAATAAATACCTGAAACACTAACAATTTTTGGAGGATTCTATGCTAAGACATCGAGAAGAATGTGGCTCTCTGTGTAAGCATCACATTGCTCAGACTTGCGTACTATTGCTTGCACCACATTTAATTTTTAACAGAAGTCTAAGCTGCAGAGGGACTTGCTTCCTGCCGTGGTTGAGAGGGTTTTTTTGACCATGGAGTTCAGTGCATCTGGGCAGCTTCTTTAGTGATGTGATGAACCAGAGTAGCACTGCAAGAGCAGGGTCTATGTTTTATGCATTTTTGTTCCTAGTGTGCACTGATATGATGTGAACTGTAATGCTCTGTGGTATTAATAATCCATGAAGAGAATTCTCAGGCAGGGCTAAGAGAAAAGTTAACAAGCCAAATGGAGCCATTATAGTATATATTATTAATAAGGCACATTTTGCTTGCATCTCAGGTGTAAAAGATTCTCTCATTCGGTAACCCCCAAATCAGAATATAAGTAATATGCATTTTGGATGTGTATTTTCTTATGCAGCTGTTAGAGAAATCAGAGTAGATCATACTGCAGAAATACTGTTATTAAAATAAAAGGCATCTAAAAAGAACCAAGAAAACTTTTCGGTACACCTCATCAGTATCAGAAATGGATTTTTACAGTTCCTACATGAGCTGAATGTTAGTTGCAAAGAATCTGAATTTTATGTCAGGTGTTCTAGATGTAAGCAAGAATTTCATTGCTTACCTGTCTTTTTGAATTCATGTTTAGGCAGCAAACTGACCACACGTTCATTCATATCACATGGCAGGGAATACTGTGGCACAGCAAGTGCTGGGTTTACACCTGGAGCCAGGTTCAGTTCAGCCCAGGCAGATGTTAGCGAAGGGTTGGGAGCTGCAGGTACTGTACGAAGCGGGGGTGATGCAGTGCTGTAGCCACCGCTTCCCACAGCTGCCTGTGTGTCACTGGAATCCTTCCGTCATACAGATTGAACGTAAATCTGCTGTCACCAGGTGAAGCACTTTGAAGCCACCAGTTTTCCCTCCACCTGCACAAAGGCTGCAGTTTCTTACCTGCACAGTAAGAATGTGCCTGCAGAGCAGATAGTCTTTATGGGAACTACCCCAGAGGTTCTCACCATAACGTAAGTGACCTAACATGAGGACTAGGACGCATACTGAAAAGATGCTGCTTGCTCCAGGTCTGATGTGGTTCTCAGCCCAAATCAGGTTTTGCTGATAATGGGAGGGTGAGAGGTGACAAATTCCAGTTTTGCCAAACTGTCAAGGGTCCATTTTTCACAGACACCGTTTTGTGTGGCCATAGAGTTTGTGACCACCTTTCCTCAGTGTTCTGGTGTCCTGTTCCTCCCTATACCTGATGAAATAAATGAACGTGAGAGAGATCAGGATCAATTCTCTCTAGCGCTCTCGTCAGCTAATTTGCTTTGTGTGTTACCACCAGAGGGGCAGGGCAGACTGTTTTCTTGCAGAAAACATCAGTATGGGTGAGGCGTTGTAGTAACATAAGCTTTCTGTAAGTAGAACCCTAGTTTGATGGATCATTTCACAGAATCACACAGAATCACAGAATGGCAGGGGTTGGAAGGGTCCTCAGGAGATCACCTAGTCCAACCCTCCTGCTAAAGCAGGTTCACCCACAGCAGGTTGCACAGGACGTCGTCCAGGCGGGCTTTGAATATCTCCAGAGAAGGAGACTCCACAAAACCCCCCTGGGCAGCCTGTTCCAGTGCTCCGTCACCCTCAAAGTAAAGACGTTCTTCCTCACATTCAACTGAAACCTCTTGTGCTTCAGTCTGTGCCATTGCCCCTTGTCCTGTCGCTGGGCACCACTGAGAAGAGAATGTAGAATACCGTTATGTCATTAATGTTAAATGTGTAGATCACAACTGCTTCACAGAAATAATGATATTAATTAGTATGTTCAGTAGAGTATTCAAGAACTTGGGAGCGGAACTAGCACTCTGCTTTAGGGTATGCGATGGGATAGTAGAAACAATCCAAATAAGCTTTCTGCTTCTTAAGCAGAAATATGTTTAACATCTGTTTTTCTGATAGATATAAATTGGATACTTGAGCTTTAACAGCAGATTTGACCTGTAATTGTCATTTCTTATTATTAGATCATGAGAGGCGTATCTTTGTTATGCTTTGACCTGACCACGTTTGGAGCAATATATTTCATAATCATGCAGGTGAATATTTTGTGGAAGAGATAGTGGCTTTTCTCAGGTGATGATCCTTCTTTAAGAAAAGGTGTTAGAAGATGCAGTGGTTAGAGCAATACCTTAACATCTGGAACTTAGTTCCTTGCTTTGCCACTGATTTCTTATGTTAGGGCAATAAATAGTATAAGGAAATTGTGGACTCCAATTTAGAGGTGTTTCCATTGTGGTTATACTGTCTGGATCATTGCTGAATAAGGAAATGAGGCTATTTCATTGAGTCACGAAAGTTTTACCTCTTCCGAGAAATAATTTTGCAATGTTGAAATGGGTATGGTGGGGAACAAGAGTTGCATTTATAGCCCTCTCTCTTCCTCTCTCTCTTTTTTCTTGTATTTATTGTATTTCTTTATTTTTCAAATCACATGACTTCACAAGATAAACTTTAGGAACAGTGCTTGCTAGTCTATTTTTTTAAGCATTATTTTAACATTTATTTTATGTTTGGAGAACATCGAAGCAGAAGAGAATTCAGTGCTTTTCTCTTTCCTGATAGTTGCTTTTTATAGAAATAAAATATTACATTAGAAAGCTTGATAAACAGAGAATTGAAACAGCCACGCTCTTGGCATGGGCTATGTGATAAGAAGTTATCACATCTTAAATCTTGCTGTGAACGCTGGAGGATTGCAGTCCTGGCAGCGTTATTGTTGGTCACGAAAATCCTCCTTTGCTTGCACTTTCCTGTAATGCAGAAAGGATTATAAGCATAAGACTGGCGTGCATAAAATGGTTATAATCATGGTGTTTAAAGATGCTCCACAATCTTGCAAGCAATCCATGGACTCTATTAGGTTCTGAGACAATTTATGTGGATGTTCCTTAAAACACCTCTTGTCTGTTTGAATATTTTGTGGCCTACTCATGAATGAAAACTTGGCACAGAATAAGATCATTTGCTTGCTTTATTTTTTTTTTTCAGATAACTGATTTCTAAACATAGGGAATGGTTTACTTTTCACCACAATGTTGTATCGGTTGCAAAACAAAAAGGAATTCTAGCGTCAATATTTGTGCTACATCTGGCACTTGCTCTCAGACTCTTAGCTATTACTGGAATCCAATATCACCTGCTTTACAAATTCCTACTAGTCGGGGCGCTGTGCAGCGCAGGCTGACTTCAAGTGCACTGATCGTGTTCCCCCCTTTTAGGTTACTATCATAACAGCACAAAAGTGGCCGTGAAGACTCTGAAGCCTGGAACGATGTCTGTGCAAGCCTTTCTGGAGGAAGCCAACCTCATGAAAACACTTCAGCATGATAAGCTCGTTAGGCTTTATGCTGTAGTGACCAAAGAAGAACCTATTTATATCATAACAGAATTCATGGCTAAAGGTGAGAACAACATTGGGTCTGCAAGCAATGTTTTAGTAAACTCTTCTGCTTCTCATTAATCAGTTCCCTTTCTTTAAAAAGGAAGGGATAAAAAAAGGCAAACCTGGGATTTTAGCGTTATTCTTTTGAATGCTCTGGTATGAAGTGAAGGAGCACCTATCCTAGAGGAGAGCTGAGGCTTTAATTTTATGATGCATTTCTGCATTTGTGAAATAAATTATTTTTACAGTTTTCTTAAATGTAGCATTTTTTATTGTTTCAGATGCAGAGCATAACCCTCAAAATAGCTCTGGTTCCTTTGGGCTCCCTACTTAAATTTTGTCTGGTGTCATAGCGAGGCAATTAAAACAAACTTTAGAAACCACCTTATGTGGCCCTTAAATTGATAAATATGTGTGTAATAAGGTGAGTGATGAGTAGTCCGGCAAGGATGGCTGGACAACCTTTATTAGAGCACAACTACACAAAATAAGTGAGGTTTCCTCCTCAGGTTGTCTTGGGTGGTAGTTTTTCTTGTTTTGTTCTGTTTTCAAGCAATTCTGCTGCTACCTTCATAAATGAGTGCTGAGACACTTATTCTGTGTGATTTGGAAAGGACTTATATGTGTGATCCTCCTAGACAGCTTTCCTGGTAGTCCGTAGGCTAGTGTACTTACCAAACTCAGCACCGCTCAACCAAGGTATGGTCTGGTGGGAGTTTTCTACACCCAATAAGCGGCAAAACTTGGATGCTTGACATGCTGACTTGGATGTTACTGTTGTTAAATCATGTAACATGTAACATCAAAACACTTCACTGCAAAAATTTTGTGATCCAGAAAACTGGGGACCTGATATGACCTTTATTTTGGTAATAAGCTGCTCTGACTTAACCTTTCTCTGTTGTAACAGGAAGTTTGCTGGATTTTCTGAAGAGTGATGAAGGAAGTAAACTGTTGCTTCCAAAGCTAATCGACTTTTCTGCCCAGGTAAATTTTAAGAAATATGCTCAAAATTAATGGAGTTTATTTCTCTCTGAGTCTGAAACTCATGCTGGGCAGCTTTATCCCAATGTTTTTTGCATTAAAAAAGTATTCCATTTTCAAATAAGTTTTGGTCTGAGTAAATAAGGTTACCTCAAAGAAAGGAATAGATAAAAGAGGTTTCAAAGGGAATATGTGAAGTTAGCCTTAGCTCTTAAATACTGCTGGTGACCTGCTTAGGTGGCAGTGGTGGAAAGGCTGCTTTCAATTTGAGCGGCCGTGGATTGAAAGTGTAAATACAAGTTTGTGAGTTTGTGCTCATGAGATTCCTTCAGGCCCAGTAGATGTGTCATTTTTACTTCTTACGCTGGGTCAATTGGTCAAACTTCTCTTAACCATAAGGGACTATTGTTGGTTTCAAATTGTTATGTAAATTACTGTGAAAGAAATTAAATCCAATCAAATGACATTTCAGGTGCTAAAATCTGATTTATGGACCAAGATGGTTGTTTGAAAACATACAAGTTATCCCATGTCATAAATGAAATCTGAGAGAGAGACCCCAGAGTGATTTGTGTTTCAAAGCCTGGATCCAAGGTGCTTGGTAGCCCGGTGTTTTGCCTTGGACAGTGGCCAGCACTAGATTTCCAGGGAAGCATATAAGAAAATAGAGTAAGAATTGTGCTTTTGCAAGTTGTAGTTCATGTTACTAATAGGTAATGAAGGCACTTCTGGTAGGTTATAGTTTCACCAATCTTTTGGAGTTTTTATTATGCTTTATAGTTTGCAGACTGTTTTACCCTATTACACTAACGTGGTACAATTCACAAGCAAAGACGAGAAAACTTTAAAAAGGCATAATAAAACATTAGAGATTTATACCAAAATTGTCTGTAAGAATATTATATAACTGGTTTATATAACTATTGCTATATAAATAAATATAAGATTAGACATTAGGAAACATTTTTTTACACTGGAAGAGGCTTCCGGGAGAGGTAGTCGATGCCCCAAGCCTGGCAGTGTTTGAGAGGCATTTGGGCAATGCCCTTAACAACATGCTTTAACTTTTGGTTAAAGTGGCCTGAAGTGGTCAAGCAGTTGGACTAGATGAGCATTGGAGGTCCTTTCCAACTGGAGCTATTCAATTCTATGGTATATTATATACCACGTATTGTTAAATAGATGTTCAATATATCAAATACAGACTTCTAGTTAACAATGCAGGAGCTGGGTTTGCTATAATTGTTGGTTCAGTGTAGCTATAGGCTTTTTAAGTTTTCTGAACAATTTGGGTAACTTGTCCTTGAGAACTTAGCAGGGCAAAAGCTTTATAGATATGGAAAACCTGCTGGATCCCAGGTCATGGTCTGGAGAGATGAGCAACAGTGGGCAGGGGAAAAAAAATGTAGCTTTGAATACAGTATGTAAAATTCAAGGGAGAGAAGAGCATCTGTGAGCAGTGATAGAAAAGGAGACCCGGGATGTGGAGAGGAAAGCACATGTGGTTTTATAGCCGACCTTTTTATTGGAGTTAGGGATGTTGTGTTCATTTTAAATGAATATTGTGCTTTCAGAAATTTAAGGCTTAAAAAGCTTAAGGAACTAGAGAGCAACTCTTAACTGCATATAACTTGGGTAAATCTCTTCCAAGATGACAGGGGTCATTGATTTACAAAGCTTTGAAGGTCAGGTCACTTGCAATGGACATCACTTGTAACACCAATCTGACAGCAACCTCTCAGAGCCAGTTCCTGCACTTGACCTCAGAGGCCAGGCCAGGTGATACAAGAAGTCCCGCTCTTCACGTAAGATATAGACTATTAACAGGAATTCATGAGAGCGAGCCACACATTGGGTTGCAGAGTGATCTTAAAGGGATGTTCAGGAAGGCCTCTCTGAGGGTTTCTAGCTGCAGCCCAAACAAAACTTTGGAACAGAGATACTGGGATTTTTCGTATGGAAAGAATCTGCAGGGTTTTTAAGCACATTTGCAAGGAGCCCTTAATGCCACTGAGTAATAACAGGACTGCGTGGCATAGACTTTCAGGTTGCGTGTGGTTCTCAGACCAGAGATTTCCCCAGGTGTTCCACTGGTCTTCTCTAACTCTGACAGTCTGAATGTTAATTGATGGGTCTTTAGGGCAAAAGACAGGCAAAAATAGTTTCAAACTCTACTACTAAGTAGTCTACTTAGCTAAGGTAATGGTAATTTTTCTGCAGGCCTGTGGATCACACTTTTCCAGAATGTAGGCTGTATATAAAGGAGAACATAAAATATGTCTAGTATTATTGGTATGACTCTGGTTTGTACAAATGGAACACTAATTTATTCTTACAGCAGCAATGTTAACCTCTCTGTACAGCCTAAGGGGAAAGAAATTTGGAGAGCTATGTTTCAGAAGAGGTTAAAAAAACCCAAAGTGTGGAAGGAAGCTCATGGTGAACCACTTAAACAAGATCTGGCATGTATTTTTGTCTTAGTGGACACATGCTTGAGCTCTTCATGACTGTCATCACACCAGTCTGGCAAGGCAGTTTAACAGATTAGTCCAGCTTCTCAGAAAGAGTGAAAATACAACAAATGGTAGCTGAGGATTGGCTTACTTTTCCTCTCGTGCATCTGCGATGTTGCACGAGGCTGGCCCGCTCCCAGCCGTGCTACACAGTTGGCTGACTCACATCCACATGCGTGCAGACGAGACATCTGTTGCAACAAAAATTGCTGAAAGGACCCGACCCGTTGCAATTGACTTGTGATGCAGCAGGAAGAAAATGGGCCAGGAGAGGTTCCACATAGTATGTCACCTTTTTATCCAGAGGAGTGGTCTTTGCCACCTTACAGTGGCCTTGTCAGATAAAGAGGGATTGGGAATGGGAGAAAGGGAGGGGGGGGATGTGGTCTCTGTGACTATCAGGTAGCTGAAGAACGTAGTGCAGGTAGTTGAACATGAACCCCCAGCTGAAGCCCATTTTCCAGGTGGTGTTGAAAAGTGCTGTGGGTTGGCGTTTCCGTTGCCAGACTGCTGCTAGTGCTCCACTTGTGTGACTTTGTAACACCTTTGCCTTGAACAGTCTTGAAAGAAATCTGCATTTACAAGGGGTGAAACCTTCTGATTTTGCAAAAAGAAAAGTAAGGGCTGCTCCCCCAGGTGAAATAAACTCCTTCTGAAAAGATAGCATTTTTCAAGCAAGTAAACAAATATACTCCTACTCTGCTATACTGATTCTGCTGTTTTGTTAGCCTAACACCCACACTCACTGACTGCCATTTTTAACAGCCATAGCTGAGTACTGGGGACAGACTTTTAACAGGGCCTGTAGCGATAGGACAAGGGGTAATGGTTTTAAACTAAAAGAGGGAGGATTCAGACTAGGTATAAGGAAGAAAAGTTTTATGAAGAGGGTGGTGAAACACTGGAACGGGTGGTAGAAGCCCCATCCCTGGCAACATTCAAGGTCAGGTTGGACGGGGCTCTGAGCAACCTGACCTAGTTAGCGGTGTCCCTGCTCACGGCAGGGGCGTTGGACTAGGTGACCTCTACAGGTCCCTTTGAACCCAAACCATTCCATGATTCTGTGATTCTGCTTAGTTACATTTATGTCTAGTGACTACTTCAGCGCACAGCTGTAGATTCAGGATTTTTATGGGGTTTTTTGCTGTACTAACAATCACAATTTATTAAATTAGGCTTGTGGAAAGCATGGCAAGAAGTGCTGTGGGTTGGCGTTTCCGTTGCCAGACTGCTGCTAGTGCTCCACTTGTGTGACTTTGTAACACCTTTGCCTTGAACAGTCTTGAAAGAAATCTGCATTTACAAGGGGTGAAACCTTCTGATTTTGCAAAAAGAAAAGTAAGGGCTGCTCCCCCAGGTGAAATAAACTCCTTCTGAAAAGATAGCATTTTTCAAGCAAGTAAACAAATATACTCCTACTCTGCTATACTGATTCTGCTGTTTTGTTAGCCTAACACCCACACTCACTGACTGCCATTTTTAACAGCCATAGCTGAGTACTGGGGACAGACTTTTAACAGGGCCTGTAGCGATAGGACAAGGGGTAATGGTTTTAAACTAAAAGAGGGAGGATTCAGACTAGGTATAAGGAAGAAAAGTTTTATGAAGAGGGTGGTGAAACACTGGAACGGGTGGTAGAAGCCCCATCCCTGGCAACATTCAAGGTCAGGTTGGACAGGGCTCTGAGCAACCTGACCTAGTTAGCGGTGTCCCTGCTCACGGCAGGGGCGTTGGACTAGGTGACCTCTACAGGTCCCTTTGAACCCAAACCATTCCATGATTCTGTGATTCTGCTTAGTTACATTTATGTCTAGTGACTACTTCAGCGCACAGCTGTGGATTCAGGATTTTTATGGGGTTTTTTGCTGTACTAACAATCACAATTTATTAAATTAGGCTTGTGGAAAGCATGGCAAGAAAATGCTTGCTAGGAAGGTGGTCCAGCTCAGTTTCTAAAGCAATCTGCCCTCTGAAAGAGCTACAGTTTCTCATTTGTGTTTTAATTAGTGTGTTTGAGTAGGAGCTGGGGCAATCTAGTGTTAGCTATGGCCTGGCAAAGATGATTTGGGCCACTAGAGACGAATGCTAGAAGTGTCTGAAAGCGTTGTGTTTTAAAGGAAGCTGAATTTTGCAAACATACCTTCAAGAGTATACGACCTGCTTTAGTACAGAGCAGAACTTCGGCATCTCCTGTAGACGCCAGCAGAATTGTCAGTATGTCAGACATGCCAGAAACAGCCAGGAATATGGAGAAGTCAAAATCTGAGCCTGTTTCCCTGCCTGCGTGCCCACTGACGGTGCGTGGGTCAGCAGCATGGCAACCTCATCGGCTGGTCTCGTGCATCTGGCAGGCGTTAGCTGGCACGGTTGCCAAGTGGTTCCCCTTTCTTGCCCATCAGCTCAGCCAGTGGGCTCAGGAAACCCAAAGGGGCTCTTGGTTCCCAGTTACGAGTTGGAAGGTAAGGGAATTTCATCGCTTTGTCCACGAGC